TGGGAGGTCATTACCGGGGTGCGATGGGTCTTTGATGATGTTGGCCGCCTTTCCGCAGCAGTGAGCTGTGTAAATAGAGTCTGTGAATGGAAGGTTGGCTTCTGTGATGGTCTGGGCTGTGCACGCCACCTTCCGTAGTTTCTTACGGTCCTGAGCAGAGCAGTTGCCGTACCAGGCCGTTATGCACCCGGACAGTATGCTTTCAATGGCACATCTGTAGAAGTTTGTGAGGGACCTTATGGACGTGCCAAATTTCCTGAGCTGCCTGAGGAAGAAGAGGCGTTGTTGTGCCTTCTTGACTATTGCATTTATGTGTGAAGTCCAGGACAGGTTGTCGGTTATCCTCACTCCGAGGAACTTGATGAGCTTCCAGATCCCAAGAGGCGACTGCAGCACTTTGACTGCATGTAAGTACATTTGCTACATCTCTTTCTGAAGTCAAAATTTGTTAGGTTGTTATTTCTTCTGAGAGACCGGATCAATGACTCATATCCTCCTAATGTCAAACCCCCGCCCAATAACCTTCTTGTGTCCTTCCTTCCTCCATCCCACTCAAGGAAGCACACTCCTCCTTTTCCCTGGCTAAAGAACTGCTGATTTAGTGCTTAGCTGTAGCTATTTTAGATAAGCTAGCTGATGCACAACCTGAACATTAACAATACCCTTTGGCCTGTATGAAATCATGGTTCTTATAAATTACTTCCAGTGGGAAATGTATAACCATGTTATCTCCTTTAAAAACAATAAATGGAAGGGGAGCAAATTGGCTTGAGAGACCAGAAATCTGATTTGCTACCTTTGCCTTTTATCGGTCAGTGTCAGAGGTTTTACTGCGATAGATTATGTAGGTTTTGGAGTGTGTGATTGCAGGCTGTAAAAACACACTGTCTGTTTTCATCAAGATGTGCATAACTCACTGGGCCTCACGGGCTCAGCACAGTGCAAAATAAAGAAATTATTTATCATGGCCAATCCTGATTTGGGGATGGTGTCTGTTTTAGTTACTCTCTAATAAATTACCAATGAGACAAGTCAGTAACTGTTCAAATTTTCTTTAGAAAAAAGCTATAGTTATTGTTGCTCTAATTAAACACAGTACCTGATTAGTTCTACTTCTAGTTGCATCTTTACGTTTTCAAATCAACTGAGCAGCAAGTCTCAGTTATCAACCTGGAAAATAAGCTGCGTTGGTTATGTAGCATGTAATTGTACATTAGTGACGGCCTCACTGTGTTGGCATTGAATGCTTAGCATTGTATTCAATCCAAATACCTTCATTTTATTTAATAGAATGTTGCTTATAAACTATAAAATAAGATGTTTTTGTTGAATTCAAATTAAACAAAGCATTCATCACAAATAAGAAATTTCAATGCTTTCTGACCTGATGGTGTATCGAATCGTAGTCTTTGAATTATACAGCACAGAAACAGACCCTTCAATCCAACTCGTCCAGATATCCTAAATTACTCTAGTCCCATTTGCCAGCATTTGGCCCATGTCCCCCTAAACCCTTCCTATTCATGTACCCATCCAGATGCCTTTTAAATGTTGTAATTGTACCAACCTCCATCACTTCCTCTGGCAGCTCATCCCAAACACGCACCACCCTCTGCGTGAAAAAGTTACCCCTCAGGTCTCTTTTATATCTTTCCCCTGTCACCTTAAACCTATGCCCTCTAGTTTTGGACTCTTATCCTGGGAGAAAGACCTTAGCTATTCACTCTATCCATGCTCCTCATGATTTTATAAACTTCTATAAGCTTCAGCCACTCCAGGGAATTAGATGTAATTTAACCAGTACTCTTGAACTACATTAAACAGGTTGGTAGAAAAAATGGATTCTTGATGAATGATAAATTAAAATTCACTGACTTTATGGCCTGATATGTTTTACATACTTCTTTTTGTCTGCTGTCTTATTTTCAGTTCCTGTTTCTAATTTAGTTATGTTGGTATCACAGCTTAATATTCACATGCAGTCAACATTTGTATGGGTCGCGCTAGCTAAACTAGGCATGACTGGCTGAAATCGTAGTCCTGATGATGAAGATTGAATAATCTAAATTGAAACTATCTAAAGATTGGCCCTGAAGATTTCAATGGATGTGAGGTTTTCATTTGGCAGCTTGTTCCATTATGAGATTGCCCTTGGGGAAAAAAGATTGCTGATGCAGTGTCTTAGAAATAAATATTCTTTGTGTGCATGGCCAGCTCTTGTTTTCTTATTGCTGGAGTGCACCAGCTACTTGTTTCTGCTTTTTTTTTTCTCCTTTTCCATTTACCCCTGAGATATGAAAGTAACATTATCTATTCTAGACCCTTCTCCAATGGTGAAGATAGCAGACAATAGGGAATCAGCTTGAGCCAAATTAGAACAGAGACAATGGAGAAAGGGAAAAAAGTCAACACAGGCATCAGGACGAGAGAAGCTGCCAATAACATTGAGGCAAAAACAAAGCACTGTGAACTTTGGAAGTCTGAATTAAAAACCGAAAATGCTGGGAATAGTCAGCATTGGTAGTAAAAGAAATGGAATTAACCTTTAAAATCCGAAATGGATGCAGATGTTGGAAATCAGAAAAGAAAACAGAAATTGCTGGAAAATCTCAGCAAGTCCGGCAGCATCTGTGTAAAGAAATCAAAGTTAATGTTTCAGGTCCAGTGACCCTTCCTGAGAAGAGTTAACCTTTTATTCAGTCCCCTTTTGTCAGTAACTGGGAGCACTTAGAGAGGTCATTTTTTTTTTAAGAACATCGTGGAAAAGGAGAAGAAAGATCTCATTGGGAAATCTATGATATGGTTAAGAAGAAAATATTGGAGTCAAGAGTTTAAAAGAAAAATCAAATAGGTGGAGATAAACAGATTAACAAGGAAGATATATGAGAAAAATATGGAGACTTTGGGAAAAGAAGGCAGAGCATTGGAATATGAGATTCATAGGAATACAGATGGCTGTGGATAAAACTGGGCAAACATTATTCTTTTTAAATTGCAATGTAGAGATTGAGCATGCAATGTATATTTACTTGTGTTGTGCCATAAGTCAGCCTAAAAGCCCCAACTTTTCACACATTACTCAGGGATTACTGATCCATAGGAATGAATTCAATGTGAGAAAAGGCATTAAGTCAGCTCCATTGGTAGCAGCTGTGACTCTGAATTAACACCCCTGGCGCATTTCAGTGAAGTACTACCTTTTGCTGAATGTTCTGAGTTATTGATGAGGTTGCAGGCTGAATTTTTATCTCTGGTTCAGAAAACATGAGTTTGTGACCATTTCATCGTGAACACATCACCTTCTTGCCATACCTACCATATTTTAATCTCTTAGAGATGTGAGTGGGTAAGGTTCAGATCTGTTCCTCTCTAGGTAAGCCTGAGACAGTATTAGAGGACAGTATTAGATGCACAATGGATTAGTTAGAAGACCTGCCTCAGTTCTTATGCACATCAGTTCAGCTCTAAATTGTGCTTAAGTCCTCTCATGTCAAGGAATCATGCCCTTCCTACTCCCATGTACCCTGCTTATCCAGACAATGATAGACATCAATGGCCACTTAATTGCTATAGGAAATGTTTGAAATAGCCATGAAAAATGATTAAACCTATAACAATCTAATAAAGCTGTCACTCAAACGCACGGTTGTTCCCACCGAAAAGCAAATTCCAGAAACGTGGAAAACATTCCTCAAGTGGTTGTTCAGTTGTAAAAACAATTATCTATTCAGAAACCATAGCATGAATAAATAATTCATTAATGACTTATAAAAACTGTCAATCAAATTGTGTGCAACACCCCCCCAACTGAGCTAAATGGTTCCAAAATCTTTGACGCCCAGCCAAGTGTTCATAATTGTCTCAACTTTCAAAACAAATGCTTACCACTCCAGATAGTGGAATCAATTGAAACTTCAAAAACAGGTTTTTTTTCCTAAGCTACACCAGATAGCTAGTCATTCCATGATTTCCAAGAGAATGTGATAATTTTTATTCTATGTTAAAGTGGCAAGCTGATGCAAATGATTATTTTCTCCCAGAGGATAGTTAAAACCTGGAATTCCCTACCCCAGGGAGTTATGGAGATAGATCACTGAAGGTAGTCAAAGAGAAGAAGAGAAAGTTTTGGAATATTAGGGAGTTGAGGACTTTGAGGAGCTGACATGAAAGAGGAGTTGAGACTTCGGGCAGATCAGCCACGATCTTAAAGAATGGCAATGCAAACTTGATGGGCTGAATGGCCTGCTCCATTTCCTACTTTCTATGTTCTAAGTTTTTTCTATTTTTAAAGCCTCAATAGCAGGCAGTTAACTGCCCTGATCACATCAAACTCTTGAGGAACTTCTGAAAGAGTTTGTGATGAGTTTATCTGTAGAACAAAACCACCACCACCACAGCTATCAAAATCAGCCCATCGAGTGTCCCAAGGTACAGTTCTCTAATACAGATTAGAGTCTGGCAAATGATTATTCTTAGAATAATCAATTATATGGCATTGCAAGGAAAGAGCCATTTCATTTTAGCATCTAAATTATAGATAAGTCCTTAACTGGCGCCACTGGCAGAATAGATGACCCTGAAGTAGCTTCGGACATTACGAATATTTGTGCCATATATTCTTCCGCATCTCTCGTAAAGGAACAATTAATATGTCAGCTGCATATAAATCTGATCAGTGCTGTTACTGAGACTTTAAATTATGATTCCAATTAATCTGGTTTTTACTTACCCTGATCCCAACTGGATTCTTCATCTATTGTGTTCATTGTAATTGCATAACCTCCATTATGAGCTAACATAAGTCATGTTCGTGCAGTAATGTAGTTAAGGTAATATATTGTGTGAACATATTTTATTGGTCAGCATTGCTACTGGGTTTATTGAACAATAGATGCAATTTTCACGTTCAGCAATTAATGATGTGGTTAAAGATGTATATGTGTGATGCTAAAATACCAAATATTTCAAAAGTCATTTCTCCTTTTTATTTGTTCACTCAGGAAATGATGACAAAACTGATAACGGAGACACCAGACCATCCAATTCCATTTTTAATAAGTCACTTACAAAACAAGCAAGGAAGTTGCAGCCAGCTCCAAAGAACACTCTCAGGTTCAGCTGCACTGTGGGCTGAAACGGGTAATGGCAGAAATTGTTTTCTGTACAGTTTTTCAGTCGAGTCTTAATTGTAGTTACTCTCAAATGCCTTTCTTTGCTGAAGAGTAAAGTTTAGTTCATGTGTAACAGGCTTACTATCTTCTGACTTCAGTGTAAAGTTACATTCTGTAATGGAACACTAGACTTGAAATTTCACACTGTCATAATGATTAATTCTCTTGTACTGCTGATGGAAGAACAGGAATATATGTTGTACTTCAGTGGTTAGCTCTGCCGCCTCACAGCACCAAGGGCCTAGCTTCAATTCCCATCTCAGGCGATTGTTTGTGTAGAGTTTGCATGTTTTCCCTGTGTCTGCGTGGATTTCCTCCGGGTGCTCTGGTTTCCTCCCACAGTCCAAAGATGTACAGGTTAGGTGGATTGGCCATGCTAAATTGTCCATTGTGTCCAGGGATGTGCAGATTAAGTGAATTAACCAAGGGAGACGCAGGGTTACAGGGAGGGGGCGGGCAGTGGGTCTCAGTGGGATACTCTTTGGAGGGTTGGTAGGGGCCGAATAGCCTACTTCCATTCTGTAGAGATTCTATTTCTGCACTTTATTGCACTCATGTAAACATTTGTCTGAAACATAGGCTGGCTATTTCCTCTTCCCTTTTTGTTTTTGAAGGTATCTGGTAGGTTCGCAGGTTCATAGAGTCATGGTGTTGGACAGCATAGAAACAGACCTTTGGTCCAACTAGTCTGTGCCAACCAGATATCCTAAACTGATCTAGTTCCTTTTGCCAGCATTTAGCCTATATCCCTCTGAACCCTTCCTAATCATATACCCGTGCCGGTGCCTTTTAAATGTTGCTATTTAGATCCTCCACATTATCGATCTGGTAACACCCTGTGCAAAGCAATTTAAATTCCACTATCCCAGATAGAAAAAGCACCAAAACACGAACAGTAATACTTGGAAATGAATGTGCTGGGTTTTTTAGTAAATAGATAATGTTCAGCATCAAGCATAGTTTAATGACTTCACTTGAGGAGCAAGTGTATTTTGATTTGGTTCTTATTGAAGGGTTAAGCAATGGGATGTGGTGATTACTGTTCCCAGGGTGGAACTGTTATATTATTCATGGGATTTATGGAGAGGTGATGGTGCAGTGGTATTATCACTAGACGATTAATCCAGAGACCCTGGTAATGTTCTAGAGACCTGGGCTTGGATCCCACCATGATGGAATTTGAATTGAATAAAATATCTGGAATTAAGAGTCTAATGATTACCATTGTTGGGGAAAACCCATCTGGTTTACTGCTGTCATTTAGGGAAACAAACTGCTGACTCCAGACCGATAGCAATGTTGTTATCTCTTAAATACCCTCTGGGGCATCAATTGACATCAATTATGGATGGGTGATAAAGGCCAGCCTAGCCAGTGATGCCCACATTCTATGAATCCCAAACTAGCCCTCCATATTGGAGTGTACAAGATGAGTTGGAACACTCATTTTGGTTTTTCCTTCTGGAACTTCAAGCAGGTCTGTCAGTTGGGTTGGCTTTTATTGGAGAAAGGATGGAAGGCTGTTTCAGTGACAAAGAATGTTAGAGTTGAGTCTCTGGGATCCAGAAAGCCAGTGAAGCTTGATATAATGATGGGAATACTGTCCCTACTGTGTACGAATACACTTTCTTTTATCACTTTGAAGCAAGGAGACCAGGAAAGAGGGCATTATTGATTAAAAAAAGGGATTAATATGTCTGTAGCAGAGTTGAGAGGTATGGGCAGTGTTGAGGTGCAGTGCTGAAGGAGTTGATTGACCCAAAAAGCTTAGCTTGGGACAAAGTAGTTTGCCAATGTTACACCTGATTAGAGATGACAGCCAGGAGTGGGATGGAACCAGGGCGAGTGAGGCATTCAGCATTCACATGATGGCTGACCCTCTACATCTGGGTGAATGCCCCAGAAGTTAATATGTAAATGAAGAAGAGGAATGTGTCAATAATTACATTAAATGCTGGGGACCTTAGGAGGAGGCTGAGATTAATCTTGGGACAGGGCAAAAACAGTTTGAGATCCCTCAGAAGAGAAAGAAGGATGTGCAGAAATCTCCTCTCCATTCACCCCTGTTCCTACTTACCTTTTCTGGTTCTTGGTCTCCACTGAGGGCTTCAAGTCACTGAAATTAAAAATTCTTCTGTCCCTTTTAAATAAAGAATCACCTCTTTCAGTGCTGCATAAGTGGCATTTAAAGGGCAAAATGTTTTGCAGCCATCCGTTACCAGTTTCCTTCAGTTTCTATTGTACATTTTTAATCATCTACAATCACAGAGAATGGCTCAGGGACAGTTTCAAAGGTACAGGTAGATGTCTCAAGCAAGGTGTAGAATCCAGCCACATATGCTGAACTTATCTGAAATAAGGAAGAACTTTTATTGTGTCATGTGGCTGGAATAGTGAACAGTTTGTGGATACTGTTTCGAGTATCCGAAACCTGAAATGTTAACTCTGATTTTTCTTCACAGATGCTGTTAGACCACCAACTTCTGTTTCTGATTTACAGTATCTGCATTCTTTCAGTTTTAATTTAGTTTGTGGATACAGTTGGGCCATTAAAGAATTTAATGCCAAAACCACAGAATTTATTAAGCATGTACAAATAGCCACAGGTTTGTTAATAAATGACATACTTATTTACCTGGATTACAACTGCTTCTTGTTGATTTAATGTTTGCCTTTCTTGCAGAAAACAAAGGGTCACGACGAGATTGTAGAAGTTATGATAAACCGTGGCTCACAAATGCCAAAAAACCAAAGAAGTCTAAGAGTGACCTTGCTGTCTCCAACATATCACCACCAACACCAGAATCAAAGTCCTGTGAGCATCATTTCTTTCACATGCATTTCTTTTGAACTGTTTACTTTTCCTCGAATTTTTGAGAAGATAAAAGAGATCAAAATGATGCTAGAGTTTCTGATTTGGGAAACCCACCCTCGAACACAGCAGATATTAAAACTGTCTTCAAGCTAGTTTTATTTGTTTTAGTGGATATGCAAAACATGCCTTAAGAATTTTAGACATTTGAGCTTGCAATCTTAATAGTTAGGCTTGTGTCAAAAACTGAGTGCGATCGTTATCAGATTTGTGTAACTTTATGATTCCACAGCCAATCATTATTACCGTTAGGAAGGGCCTATAAGTTCAAAATTTCATTGACAGCTCCAAATTATTTAAGATTTTTGACATGGGGCAAAGAATCCATTTTTTTTTTAAAATACAGGATTAAGTAATTATAGAATTTAAAATGTATGGAAAGAACATTTCGTCAATATGTTTTTTAAATAGTGAAGTCATCAATAGACACGTTACACTTTATTTTATCTCAGTATCACTCTTGAAGTCTGCCTATGGTGGAGAATGTGTGCGGGTTTGGAGGGTACAAGAGGAAAAGGTGGTGATTGCGGGTTCATGGATTGGCATGAGTTGGCACTACTTTAGCATAGAGGCTATAGAGCCGCAGGGATGAGGGAAGGGTCATGGGCTGTGATTGATTTACAGTAAGTTGTTAAAAGGGCTACAAAGGGCCATGGGATTGGGAGAGGGGCACAAATTGGCAAGGTGGGTGTGAGTCATGAGGAGGCATGGATAGATCATGGGGATTGTGTAAGGAATGAAAGGATATGGGGTGAGGACTATAGGGCTTTGAATGTATTAATCTGTTCAGTGTGGGGTGGGACGGGGGAACACTGATATCCGCATTTCACACCTTGTGGGTGTCTCCTTACCTCTTCTGTGGGCAGTGGGACTGATTCTGTACTTTTCAGTTGGGAGTAAAGATTTGATCCTTAGTTTCAGAGATGAATTTTACAGCTCTGAAATAAGACATAAGACATAGGAGCAGAAAGTAGGCCATTCGGTCCACCGATCCTCTCTGCCATTCAATCATGGCTGAAAAGTTTCTCAACCCCATTTTCCCACTTTCTCCTCATAACCTTTGGTCCCCATGACAATCAAGAACCTTCTGTGGCAATGAATTCCATAGATTCACCACTCTCTGGCTGAAGAAGTTTCTCCTTATCTCTGTTCTAAAAGATCTTCCTTTACTCTAAAGCTGTGCCTTGGGTCCTAGTCTCTCCTGCCAATGGAAACATCTTCTCAATATTCACACTGTCCATGCTGTTCAGTATTCTGTAATTTTCAATTAGATCCCCCCCTCATCCTTCTAAACTCCATTGAGTATGGACCCTGAGTCCTCAAACATTCCTCATATGTTAAGCCTTTCATTCCTGGGACCATTCTCATGCTATACCTGTACAGCAGAAAGTTTGTGTTACCCAAAACAGCTTCTACTATTCATCAATAACATTACAGCCAATTCATGTTAACGAAACATGCATTTCTGCAGAACTACTTGTATTCAGAAATCTCATCCTTCACGATGGACTCTATAATTGTACCAATGACTGAGGTCAGGCTAATTGACCTGTAATTTCCCATCTTTTGCCTTACTCCTTTCTTAAACGGGGGGGTTACATTAGTATTCTTCCAGTCCTTTGGGACCTTCCCTGACTCCAGTGAGTCCTGAAAGATCACCACTAATGCCTCCACAATCTCTTCAGCTATCTCCTTCAGAACTCTGGGGTCTAGTCCATCTGGTCCAGGTGATTTGACCACCTTCAGACCTTTCAGTTTTTCTAGCACCTTCTCCTTGGTGATAGCCACCATACTCCCCTCTGCCCCCCACCCCCGACTCTCTTGAATATTTGGGATATAACTTGTGTCTTCCACCATGAAGACTGACACAAAGTACTTGTTCAGTTCCTCTGCCATTTCTTTGTTCCCCATTATTACTTCTCTAGTGTCATTTTCCAGTGGTCTAATATCCACGTTGCCTCTCTTTGGCCCTTTATATATCTAAAGAAACTCTTGCAATCTTCCTTTTTATTACTGGCTAGCTTACCCTCACATTTTATCTTCTCCATCCTTATTTCTTTTTTCGTTGACCTTTGTTGGTCTTTATAGGCTTTCCAATCCACTGGCTCCCCACTGCAGTTCACCACATTAAATGCTTCCTCTTTTGCTTTTATCCTGTTCCTGACTTCCCTTGTCAGCCATGGTTGCCTTGTCCTGCCTTTAGTGTGCTTCTTTTTCCTAGGGATGAATTTCTGCTGTGTCTCCCGAATTACTCCCAGAAACTCCTGTCATTGCTGTTCCAGTGTCTTTCCTATGAGGCTTCTCTCTCAGTTAATTCTGGTCAGCTCCTCCCTCATGCTTCTGTAATTGCCTTTATTCAACTGTAATACCATTACATTTGATTCTACTTTCTCCCTCTCAAACTGCAGAGTAAATTCTATCATATTATGGCCACAGCCTCCTAAGGGTTCCTTCACCTCAAGCTCCCTTATCAAGTCTGCCTCATTGCACAATGCCAAATCCAGAATTGCCTGTTCCCTCGTGGGCTTCACCGCAAGCTGCTCCAAAAAGCCATCTCATAGACATTCCACAAATTACTTTTCTTGCAATGCACTATCGACCTTTTTCCCAGTCCACCTGCATATTGAAATTCCCCATGATCACTGAAACCTTACCTTTCTTACACACCTTTTCTATCTCCTGGTGTATCTTGCGCCCCAGCTCCTGACTACTGTTTGGAGACCTGTACATTACTCCCATTAAGGTTTTTATATCTTTGCGGTTCCTCAATTGTACCCACAAATATTCTACATCATCTGATCCTACATCATATCTTGCTGTTGATTTAATTTCATTTCTCACTAATAAGGCAACCCCACCCCCTCTGCCCACCTGCTTGTCTTTTCAATAAGATGTATATCCTTGGATATTCAGCTTCCAATCCTGATCCCCTTGCAGCCACGTCTCCCTAATGCCCACCACATCATACCTGCCAATTTCGATCTGCACCACAAGCTCATTTACCTTATTTCATATTCTGCGTGCATTCAGGTACAATGCCTTCATTCCTGTATTTACTGTCCCTCTTCTCACTGTCATCCCTTTATCCAGTGGTGCTTGAAGTTTGACTCCTAACCTTTCAAAGACTTTGTCCTATTTTGTGTGCTGGAGACTTTAATAACCGCTTCTGATTTCTCCTTTCTTTTCATTTTTTAAATACTTTTCCATACAGTTGAATCCACTCCCACAGATGTTAACCTGCTGCCTTGTTTCCCATTAGCCATTATACTTCTTGGTGTTTTATCCTTCCCTTAAAAGTCCTGTTGACCAGCCTATTCACCCTTTTCACTAGAACATTGGTCGCAGTTCAGTTCAGGTGGAGACTGTCCCAGTGCTACTGATCCCTCCTGTTCAAATACTGATGCCAATGCCCCATGAAAAGGAACCTCTCTTTTCCGCACCACACTTTTAGCCACATGTTTACTTCCCTTATTTGCGTGTCCCTATGCCAATTTGCACAATCTCTTGATAACCAGTGTAATATTTCAACATGCCTTATGTCCCTCACTGCCAATTATTCAGTCGGCTCTTTTCTGGCTATATTCCAGAACAATATAATGATGTGAGATGGCTTGAAATTACTAATAATGATGATACCAAAATTGAACCAATTAGTCAACGTATGAGCCATCATTTACTGTCAAAATTGAGTTGTGTTGTTGATGTTTGAAAACTAGCAAAAGTGACTTCTATGTAAAACTTCTGAAAATATTACAACTAGCATTCCAGTGCTTGAAATAAAATGAAAGCAATTCAAACAGATAAAATAATGCAGGCAATCCCTTATATCTTTTCTTATTTACATTATGAAGCAAATATTTACAGACTTCATGCAAATACATACAGATAGGCAAAATGTATTTAAAAATAGATCTTTCCAATTGAGATTGATGTTTCAGGTTATGCATGATTGAGTTAATTATGTCTTGGATAGTTTCATATAAAGTTAACCCTCTTTTAATCAGAAAATATGTTTGAGATTTAGTGCCAAATAGCAGCTCAATTGAAATTACATTTCCGTTAATCTTTGCAGTGCCAAGGTCAATAGAACAGGCTACATGGGAGTGGCGAACAAAACCTGAAAGTCAGAACTTCGATGAATTGAATCACATCCTTCAGGAAAGCAAGAAATTAGGCAAGGCCCTGGAGAGCCTGTCTCGGAGTGAGTACGATTTATTATACTTAGTTTTGAGACAGGAAGTCACGATCAACCTTTTTAAAGTGAAATTAAAATCATTGAAGCGAACCTTTCCCAGTTCCGATTTTCCACCGAGGTTTGAACCTCGAGATGAGAAACTTGCTGGTGAGTGACGAGAGGCCTATTTGCACGCATTAGCATGGCATTATGACCTATTCTTTCCTTATCTGTGTGCAGTTTGCTAATCTCCCACGTGGCAGTGAGAAACAGACAGCAACAATTCCTGCCATTAAGTCAGAGTTGATACCAGGCTGCTGGCTCCTATGACCGCTCATCTTGGCCGACAGTCTACGACATCTCAGGGCACACTCCACAGGTACCAACTGCCCTGAGCTCCTATTGACGGAGGTTGGTGCTGTACACGCACCAAGCCTCACCATGTTTCCAACTCACCTAGAATACAATTACCCACAAAATTGCTGCACTTTGGACTATACCAACACCTTGCAAATTGAATGCTGCTGCCAGGCCACTTTGACTGGCACCCATCTCATATGTTGGTGCAGAGCACATCTCAGAGCTCTTTGTTAGAACAGGAGTAGAACCCACTTGACTTCTCAAACCATAGTATGAAAAGAGATCGTGGCAGTTGTATGCCTTACTCCATATACCTGCCTTTTTCTCATATCTCTTCATATCTTTGTCTGTTAATCTCAATTTAAAATTACTATTTGAACTAGATTCAGTTGCCCTTTTGTGGAGAAAAATTCCCAAATTTTACCACTTCTGTTTCGAAAAATTGCTTAATTTCACTCTAAAAGTCTTGTTCTAATTTTTAGACTATGTCATCGGGCTCCACTCTCCTGAACCTGTGAAAGTGGCTTCTCTTTATTTATCTTTACCTGTTCCCTTTAATATCTTGAAATAGTCCATAAAATCATTCTTTAACTATCTATAGTGCAAAGGGATGTCTTCAGACCTGGCATCCAAAATTATTGCTGCCAATCTGTGTGCTATTCCCTCTAATGACATAATATCCTTCCAAAGATGTGATGTCCAGAATTACTTCTACCCCTTATATTTCAATCCTCTGGACATAAAGGCCAGGATTCCATTAACCTTTTTGAATGTTTTTTGTTCTTGTTCTTCAATCTTTAATAATATATGTACTTGACCCCAAATCCTCTTTTGTCCTCTACTTTTCCTGCAGAAATTACCCTTTCCTATCTTTTCCTTTTACGTCCAAAGTGAATGACCATGTGTTTGCCTAGATTGAGATCCATTTGCCACAGTTCTGTTCATTTATATAAGCAATCCATATCTCTATGTAATAAGTCTTTCCCATCTCCCCTACTTAGACTGCCACCTACCATTGTATAATTAGTAAATTTGGCTGTATAGCTTTTTATCACATCCAATAAGTAGATAATAAAGGTAGTGAATAGATGAGATCCCAACAAGGGTCATTATAGCCACTACATGCCAATTAGTGTAATAGCCCATTATTCCTGCTCTGCATCCTGCCACTAAGCCAACTTCTGCATCAGAAAGGATGTGTTATTGAACCTTGGCTTGGCACTGAATTCCAGCTTCTCCTTCCCCATTTCCTTTATAACCTACCAGGTAGGATTTCCAAGATGAAACCGAGATCTTGTCATTTTTAAGCATTAGTGTTTAACATGTGCCATCAGGTCTTTCAAGGAGATAAAGCAGTTTTGAATGTTGTAAACTAATGGAGGATTTTCAGTGACTGGCCAACATGCTTCAGCTGTTAGTGTGATCCTGCATACCTACACATGACGTACGTTGAATGGACTAGAGTCATAGAGTTGTACAGCACAGAAGCAAACCCTTCGGTCCAACTCGTCCACGCCGACCAGATATCTTAAATTAATCTAGTCCCATTTGCCAGCATTTGGCTTGTATCCCTCTATTCGTATACCCATCCAGTTGCCTTTTAAATGTCGTAATTGTACCAGCCTCCACCACTTCGTCTGGCAGTTCATTCTACACATGATAACACGCGTTTGCAGAGTGAGAATTGCCTCCCTTACTTCCAGGGTAGTCTCAATGATAATCTATCAAGACAAATTATTTCTTTTCAACTGGCCCACCTATACTCCACAAACGCATTTCCATGATAGAGCACTTTCTTGTGTATGTTTCTAGTTATGCCAACGTCCTTTAAACTATATGCTAGCTTTTTCCTAAAAGCCAAATCAACATTATATTAATTAGTTTTGCTGGGAGTCCATAATACCATTGCTTCTAATCTCTCATTTAACTCGAGAGAGAATTCTCTATTTGTGCCCTCCAGTTCTGCATCTACGGTTTTAATAACCTGCTTCCAACTGGGACACAAGCAAATTGGCTCTCCCAGTAAACAGCTGGTGCACTGTTGCAGTCACTTGGGTTTTTATTCAATAAGTCAAGATTTACAGAGCCAATAAAACTGCGTGTTGCTGAGGTAAATGTCATGAGCCTTAGAGTTTTCAGCTAGTGCTTTAATTTCAAAACAGTTTTGAACTTGTTTTTGATATGTGTCCTGTACAATGACAGATACCTTCAACAATTCCTTCATGAATACAACTGTCATGCATATCAGTACACAGATGCAAGGAAAGAGTCTCACTAGGTTTATTGTCGCCACGAAAATCAATATTACCAACTTCAGGGCAAAATATTGACAACTGAGGCTGCAATTCAATAATCATACCTGGTCAGTTGGCTGTTCCTCTCATATCTCCTTAAAATATCTATGCCCATATGTAACTGATGAAGATTTTCATAGTTTGTAACATCATGTTGATTCTGGTTTGATGGCATGCTTATCTTGGAAGATGACTCCCCAAGATTTGGTTAGTTTATTTTGATAAGCCTAAACATGTTTCAAGTTCTCATGGAGATCCTGAATGGCGTCTTGCCACCTTCCCATAAGCAATTTCCATAGTTACTACATTGTAGGATCTTTTGCTGTCTCCTGTGTTATTGGAAAAATATTCTAAAGTCTATCATAAAGGACATAATAGCACAGCATTTAGAAATACATAATTTGATCAAGCAAAATCAGGATGGTTTACTGAATGGAAAAAAATCATGCTTGACAAATTTATTTAAGTCTTGGAAAGGAAATGAATAGGATAGATAAAGAGGAAGTAGTAGATACAATATATTTGGATTTTCAGAGGGTATTCGATAAGGTACCATATGATAAACTGCTTAAGAAGATAAGAACCCATGATATTAGAGGCCATATAATATCAGGAATAGAGGATTACTAACTGGAGAGTTAGGATTAAGGGATCATTTTCAGGATGGTAGCCTGTAACTAGTGATGTGCTGTACTGATCAATTCTGGGGCCACAATTATTTGCAACATAGATTAATAGTTTAGATGAGGCAAGTTAATGTACTGTCGACAAGTTTACACAGGGACACAAAAATAAGTGGGAAGACAAATAGTGAGGATGACAGAGAGAGTCTGCAGAATGGTATAAGCAGGTTAGGTTAGTGGGCACAAACTTGGCAGATTTGGTTTAGTATTGTATTGTACTGACATACAGTGAAAAGTATCGTTTTGCATGATATCCAGGCATATCATACCATACATAAGTACATCAGGTTAACATAACAGAATGCAGAATATAGTGTTACAACCGCAAGGAAGGTGCAGAGAGAGATATCAGTTTAATATTTGAGAAGCCCATTCAAAGGTCTGTTGACAACAGGGACGAAGCTGTTCTTGAATCTGTTGGTATGTGTTTTCAAAATAAAGTGGAAAAGCATGAGGACATGCGCTTGCCAGGAAGAATAGAGGAGCTGAATATTGCTTCAATGGAGAAAGACTGCAGAAAGCTGCAGCACAGAAGGATTTGTGGACCTTGTGCATAAATCACAAAAAAAAAGCATACAAGTTCAGCAGGTAATAAGGAAGGCAAGTGGATTTTATTTCAAAGGGAAAGAAATATAAAAGTAGGGAAATCTTGCTGAAATTATACAAGGCATGAGTTAGACCTTATCTAGAATACTGTGAACAGTGTTGGTTCCTTATCTAAGGAAAGATATGCTGCAATTGAGGGAAATGAGGAGAAGGTTCATTAAGTTAATCCCAGGTGCAAAGGGATTTTCTTATGACGTGAGGTTGAGTGATTTGAGCCTATTTGGACTTATTGGAGTTTAGATGAATACAAGTTGGCATTTGTGATACATAAAAAATACTTCGAGAGCTTATCTAGGTAGATGCAAATAACTTGTTTTCTTTTATGGGAGAGCCTTGTCGTTAGGCATATTCGAGCCAAGATAGATTTTTAATGGTAGAGGAATCAAGGGTTATAGGATAGGCTGGAAAATGGAGTTGAGGTTTAGCACACCTGTTGGACCAAGTGGCCCACTTCTGCTCCTATGCCTTATGGTGTTATGGACCTGTGATCACTGAGCTTTTTCTCTTTCTACCACAGAGAACGAATGTGACATTGGGGATGCCTGGTTGTATTTACACTTTAGCATGATGAATCCAACACACATTACTGAGCTGTTATCTGTCTAAAGCTTCACATTAGTAAGACTTGCCTTGATCTTCCACTTCTGCAGAATTCTCCAAGGCTGTGTTTTAGTACTTGTCTATTTGTGATAGTACTGAGAGTTTACTCACTTCTGATAATGGATGAAATGCATCGTGGGATATATGATAAATTGCACATTATGTTTCAGTAGTTATGATAAGTGTGGAATATGCTCACTGTAGCTTGAACCACCTGATAGTCATTGTCACTGTTTGCTTTGGCTGTTACTGTTTGTATGCTTTCCTTATGAGATCTTGGCAATGTCGCTGCTTCAAGATATTGCCTGCATACAATCTACACGAGCCTTTGCACAACTTCTTGTAGCTTCTTCAGCCTTTGCTTTTTTGCTTTGCTGTTCTCAGTGACTCTGTCACATGACTTGAAGAAATCATGAAATACCAGCACCTTTTCAGGTGCATGTTGAAATCGGCATCTCTCATCTACCTGTCTGTCACTACTCTC